AGTCCATCCAAAAAATATTAGTTTCATTTAAACAATTAAATATTACATATATGTAATTATAGATTGTAATAACATATAACTTGAAACTAAGTAAGGTACCTTGAAATTTAAATAATTGACTACCATTACGATAAATTAAAGTAGAACGTCATCTTAAGCTGTAATACCGACAGAAATGAGGAGGAATTGAAATCAAGGAATCGGAATTGACTGTTCACGGCAGATGACATGTCTAGGGACTACAATGGAGGTATATTAAGTTAGCGACGATATAATTCAAATGCTTTATATTCATATATTTAAGAAACACGTTATTCAAATGATAGAATACTTCACATCAACATCGCATATTTTTACAATAAAAAATGTTCAAATTTATTAAATGTAAAACTTCATCAAAAGAACAAAGTAAAAATTAGGATCAAAAATTAGAAGGTGAAAAATAATTTGATATAATGAAGTTATAATACTATTTTGTTAGTGTAACAAGTTGAACGTCATATTACTCATTTTTCTAGAGTAAAACCTGTAGTCGGTTTTTTCTTAAAGACCTAGATTGTTCAAAATTTACCGACAAAACAACCGTGCAACAGTAACCAGTTGAATAAGATGAATAGAACATTTCTACTGTCTTTACTTGTTGCTTATTAGCATATTTTATATGACAGCGTAAATTGAATTGTATAATAAATATTAAAAGGAACGCTTACTTTGACAACTTTGAATTTGATGTTACCGAACACCTGACTGTAGAGATTTAGTATTCCGTTCGTTGGTGACAAAGTTCTGGTGATTATGTGAACTAAATTTATTAGATATTAATTTTATTTGGAAGGAAATAGCCCACATTGATATGAAAAATATTTGTTTAATATAAGTATCATTCGAACCGATTGGTAGCAATAAGAGATAACTCAATTTTATTACTTTTTAAAGAGCCCCTACGCCTTATATCATTTAAAAAAGAGATACCTAATAATGATACACAACTGCACCGATATTGATCAAACATAGCTAAGAAACGGGCAAATACACTGTCGTTTGAATTAAAAATATCACATGGAAAATAGTGGATTCCTGTTGGAGTGATGCTGATGGCTGATACAAACGCATACATGTATGCTCACAAGCATGTACGAACTCACACATTGACCTCAAAATAAAAATAATCCTCTCGTAGAGCTGGGGGTTAAAAAAATGCATTATTATGAAAGAAATATTATGTTCGTATGAAAATGTGTCCGTCAATATCTAAAGAGTTAAAGCTTAAATAAACTTATATGAATATTATAATATCAACCAGTTACTTTGAAATATTGAAATCATTAAAGTTACTTTAAAAAAATGTTCTAGATGCGATTAAAACAATTATTATTTCTGTTCCCGATGAATATATGAAGTTTTGATTTGATATGGATGAATTTGGGTTCAGTATGTTTGATTTTATCATAAAATGAAACAGAAACTTCACGTAAATAACCATGAAATACCTGTTAAACTTCTCTACAGACTTTAGTATAGACTTTGTTATTGAATATACATAGCAACAGTAAAGGACAGATATATATATATTTTTTATATTTTATGACAATACCGTTATATATAGTACACATTTTGTACAAACAAATTATAAAAAGAAATAGAACTACATAATTATACTCATTATTTCAAAACCTTTCTCAAAAATATTAAAACAATACGTTCTTTAAATATAGACTTGACTCATATCAGTAGTTTTATCGTATTATCTTAATTGTGTTATTTCAAATTTATGATCGTCTCCTACTAAATCAAAAATACTTTCTACAGGGTTCTGCATCGAGAGAGTAATAAAATAGATGGTACTTTGCACTTTCCGTGAAATTCCGGTCTTTCTAAGTTGTACGTACTAGCTATTCAAGGTACTGAGGTTTATCCTTACCGTAAATCAACAAGAACTTTTGAATTATCACAACAATACGTTACATTAATCTCCGTATTAATAAAGTTTGAAAGGAATTTTTGTATTATTTATAAAAAAAAGGAACATATACAGGGTGACTGGTGAATTACTATCAATATTTAAGGAGAATACTCGGTACATGATTCTCATTCGAATTACGTAAAAAAAGTAGGTACTTAATTTTTTACCAAATTTCCGTATAAATAAATAAAGTGTGGACACGTTCCAAGTGTGGACGCGTGCGGCGGCGTGCTGATACAACACCACGCCGCCGCACGCGTGTGTGTGTGTGTGTGTTTGTGTGTGTGTGTGTACCTAATCTGTAGGGTGTTCACACGATGCGTAATTAATTACATAACTTTTGGTTAACTTTACTTAGAAGTTTATTAATATCTATGATATATTAATTTTTATTTTGTCATATATGATCGTCAAATATGACGTCCTCAAGTATTGATAGTAATTCACCAGTCACCCTGTATATGTATATATTTCATAAACAATATTGCATGTTTTTCTCATTTATTTCACCATACAAATACCTTCACTCCTTTATTTATATTTTCAATACTAAAAACAGATCCGAAACCAATTTCATCTATTTCAATTCGTGGATAACAACAGAACAAATTTGCATGAAGTAATGACACTTCTGTAACCCTTTTAAGAAAACAATTAAAAAGGTGAAATTTAATTTAGGTATAAATGTAAAATGTTTTATTAGATTTTGAAAAATAAAAATAATTACAAGAGTACAACAGAGGATTGTATTTATTGATATTAAAATGATGAATATTAAATAAAAATTTAAATATTAAAATGAAATCAGTGCACATAATGGGTATGGTCCCCAAAAGTTTATATATATCGTTGGCTTTTTACATAAGAATATATAACTGGTTAGTTTTTATAAGAATACATTTTGAGAATTTCGAGTCACTACCAATGGTAAAATGATGAACTTTGTTCTTAGTGATAGTAAATTTTATACGATCGATCCTTCTAGGACACTTTCTCGATTGCGATATTATTACCTATATTTTAACACTATTTTTTGTTGCCAGTCCCAGAGTCAGATTTATATATTTAGCGGTTCACCACTTTCCACCTGTAATTGCTTAACTATATGCTCCTAGTAATACTAGGTCGTTATATGCACCAAAATAAGAGTTGAAAAGATGCTGAGAAAAATCTCGGTCCATCGTCATTGGCTCAGAAAAACAGCCTTCAACAACTACTCATATACAATGGGCTTTGAGAAAGTCATAAATTTAAGTAAAAAGATCAGGGAATGCTTTTTAACTTGAAAGCTTATCAATAAGGATTCCAGCAAAGCACGTATTGTAAAAAGTGTTCTCTTTTAGACCTTTTTGTGGCGTGCAACATAAGATCCCAGTCAACCGATAACCATTATTGTCACAGGGAGGACTTTCTAAGTCTCACATATTATAGAGATATTTGAGATTGGACAATTATGAACAAGATTTACACGATTTATTAAATATAAGGTTTAGCTAACATGTCAGCAACAGTTTTCAGCCAAACTATATTCATCTGCAAACCATGGGTTATCGTCGTTACCGGTATAATAGTAAAAAAAATGAGTACGTATCAGAAATAGCGTTATATTCTAGATGTTCAGTTAAGAAACAAACCATATTCCTAGAATAAGATACAAAAATGTCAAGTTTCATCTTAATCTGCTAACCTCTACCGCTTCATTAACATTTCACCATGAATATTATAACTAAATAGAGGAAGTGGCGATACAGATTTTAAAATTATACCAAATAATTCTATATCCAACAAACCTTTTAAGTTATTAGGCTTTTTGTTAAAATAAAATTCTATGAATAACGAACAGCGGTAATTAAAAAGCAGTAGCTTAATCGAAATTCGACAATTATAGTTGATTCGGATTAGCACTTTTGGCTCATGCAGATTATTACAATGACTAGTCTTATGGATAGTCATATGTGTGACATTGATTAGTTTTAGCTGTGTCATTGAAATATAATTTTTACAATGGGTCGTGAAATAAATGTTATGTTATACTTGCATAATTAATTTATTACAAAACAAAATTATCATAAAATGATGTCGTTTATTTTTAAGTAACATTTCAGTACCGTGAATATATTTTACAGGTGTTGGTCAAAGTTAGTTTTAATGCAACTCAGTTAGTACAGAGTCAGTGCGGTTAAAACTTGTGTCATTTGGACGGCCAGGGCGACATTTCGTAGCATTCATTCCCTCGTGGTAATTCTATCGATACTACAATTTTGTTTCGATTCGTTTTGAATTCCCTTTGGTTTCAATATTTATTTAAAAATATTACAGAAATCAAATAAATGTTAGTTGGTTAAAGTCATATAAATTATATACTTCACATATTGTTTCTTTACCCTTCTCATTCTTCGTATTAATTAAATATAATAGAAAAGCCTTTATTTCGGCCTCGCTCGTGACTTGAATTATAAGATCTGCAGATAAAAGCGCTCCATACTACAAAACCTTGCGCAGTTTATTTTCTTTGATGTGTAAATGATAACGCTATATTATGTTATCAATTTGAGTGACTATTGTATGAATATCAAATATTCATAATAGTGGGGTAACTCGAATTACGAATGGTTGAATTCATATGGTAAAATGTTTTTTGGGTAAAATGCTTTTGTGAGGACTTACTGAAAATATCTTACTTGCTTAATAGACTACGGTGACATTTTAAATAAAACATGTATTAGGTATCAGTTAATTTTTTAAATCAAAAATTCTATTCACAATTGTATAAAATATTTTATCTATACTCTTAAACATAATAATTCAACATACTTCGATGTTGAAATAGTATATTTACCTAATGATTGAATTAATTTATTTTAAAGAAATTATGTAAAACGGATTTACATAAATTATACCTAATTTCTATATCAGAGCGCAAAATAACAGAGTAGGGTTAGGATCAAGTAGGAAAGTCCAAGATACGGATATATTGAAGTCTTTTATTCGGCAAGACGAGAACGATAAATACAAGATCCATGCAATGAGTTTAGAAATGCAGAACGATTGGTTAGACATAGGAGATTTTTGCATTCCACTAGCACTAAAATGGCGCACCCTAATTCATGACTGGTCGCCAGCCTTGCTAAAATTTTATCTCAATGCGTTCCAGATGACTCTCCCAGATCAGAGTAATTTAGTAAGATGGGGTAAAGGTACCGAAAAAACTTGCTATCTCTGCGGAAAGGCAGTTGGAACTGCCAAGCATTTGCTGGTGGGATGTAGGGTTCTCCTGGACAGCGGTCAATACTCGCGTCGTCACGATAGGGTTTTAGAGATCATACGTGAAGCGGTTAGTCTTTCGGTAGCCAGAGCGCAAAGGGAAATAACCACAAACGAGCGATCAATAGGTTTTGTGAGAGAGGGCACCAGGGCTATAAAATCAAACGTCAAGCCTTACTCTATCCTTAAAGCGGCTTCGGATTGGACTATCATGATGGATACGTATGAGAAACAATACAAAATCCCCGAGGATATTTGTGCGTCGGCCTCCAGACCAGACATATTTCTATATTCGCGTATTTTAAAGCGCGTTGTGATGATAGAGCTTACGGTGCCTTGGGAAACCAACATCCCCAAAGACCATGCCATCAAGGTCAATAAGTATTACGAGCTCACTAACGAACTAACTCGAAATAGGTTCGTCGTTGATTTGTACGCGGTAGAGGTGGGAGCGAGAGGTATAACAGCTAAATCTCTCTATAACCTACTAAAAGACTTGGGCCTGTCCAGAACTAACATTAATTCATTCTTAGAACGTACGTCGAAGGCAGCCCTAGTAGGTTCTTTTCAAATTTGGTTAGGTAGGGAGAGGAACTTGGACAGTGGAGGTGAGCGTATAACGCGCGTTAGTTAAGGGGCCCCTTAAACCTACACCTGGGTCGCAAGTCCCAGGCACTGTTGAAGCTCCTCTCCCTGCAACGCGATGGACCCGGCACCCGCACGGTGAATCCATCGAATGCTAAGAGGTTTCGTCTCATATACCTTTTATATAATGGTGTGGTAATTACTTTTCAAATAAGTGTATGAGATTAGAAATTGCTAATTCATGTTTTTCCTTGTAATTACTCACTAATTAATATGAGAAAATTTGATTGAAGCGTAATTTTAATGGCTTTGATGGAACTATCCATAAACATAAAGTGACATGAAAAACATTAAACTTTCAACACTCATTACAGATTTATGAATAGATATTTTAATTAAATTTATACTAATCATTATAATATTTGAATGGCCCTAGTTTTTATCTTATCAGCATAGAAAGAATCTAAACGTATATTAAAAAAATATATTTATAGACTGGAAATCTGTAAAACAATTTCTAACACAACAATATAATAAGTTCAATCATCGCCTCCACCTTTATATTCATCAACTATAATAATTGATATTTTCATTTCCCATAAATCATTGCGGTATTTTCTTCTTCCTTCTAAAAGCAACCCGGTTTGAAGACAATAGAACAGAATCAATTAAGAGTAGACGAGGTAATTGCTGTGAATTTGATTTATAGTATTAGATGACGAGCACTATTATTGTTACAGGAATATCCGTGATTTGTTTTTGTGACGACGTTCATAATTCTTGTTCCGTTCTTTATGATACGAATTTTGTCTAAAAATTCATTAATATTCTTAATGAATAAAATTAAATCGCTGCTTTTATCGCAAGCATTCTTAGTTATTAAAACTCTCGCAATATTTTCTGCGTTATACTTTTTCGAAACAAAAGTCACGTATACATTGTGTTCTCGAGACGAAAAGGAGACTGTGTTTTATTAGAGATATACAGAATTTATTTTATTAATTAATTATTAGATATATAGAATTAGAAACTATTACAGTCATTAAACAAACACCCACATGGTCACATATAATTTCTCTCTAACCTTTCCCTTTTATAATATTAATAGGATTAATATGTTGTTTTTTTATATTTTTTCTATAAATAACACTTTTTAAATAGAAGCCTAGGCAAGCCTGTTTAGTGCTGTTATTTCCTTCTATTCAGTGAAAGATTGATCGCTCACCTTATTGGAAATTCAGGAATGTTAGAGGAATGAGATATGAAAATAAATGTTCTCTCAGCGCAAACGTAAATTGAAGATTAATCTAAGCTTTTACACTATATCAAATAAGTTAGAAATTTCATGAAATTTTTATTATCCAAGCCCATTAGTGAGAGGGAAATTTTTATTTAATAGACATCTTTAATCCACAAAGAAGATTCATAACAATAAAATAAGTTTTCCTTCTTTTCATTTATCCGCAACTAAATGGCTATGGTATAAGCGTAGAATCGAGGTCGTATGTGTTTATGTGGTCAAACGGTCAGAACGATTCAAATAAAGTATGATTTTTTATTTGATTGTTGGATATCTTAGCAAAGATTCCTTCGGAGCAATGTTTAAGAAGTGTATGTACTTAAGTTTAAAATATATATACGGGGTATATACTGGTTAGATTTTGCAAGACCATCACTATTCTTTATTTATGTTGGTATTTTTTTTTATTAAAAATATAATAACATATCAAATAATGGAGCTCCAGCTACAATTCAATTGAATTCTTATACAGATATCACTATTACCACATGAAAATGACATTTTACGAAATATGTTTTAATAAATTTAACTTTTATTGAAAATTTTCTAAGTTCAAAATGGAATTAGTTAGGTTCAAAATGTTAATACTCAATAGAAATTGGAGACAAATACTTAAAACTAAATTCACATAAACGCGCTTTATACATATTATACACATTTGTTGCTTAAATTAAAAACAGTATTAAAATCGAAGTATTATTGTGTTTACATTCAGAACAACTGATACTTTTCGATTAAAGTTTTTTAGTTACATAGGTGTGTAGCTAGAACTTTTTTTTAATGATAAAGGGGGCAACCGAGCAGACGGCCTACTTGATGGAGGTAGTACTGTCGCCCATGGACATCCGCGACATAAGACATGTTGCGGATGTGTCACCACCCTTGATTTGGGAAGAGGGGGAGGAAAAGTGGGAAGGGGAGGAAAAAGGGAAGGGGGTTGGAGCTGAAATCACTTGACCACAGCTAGGCTCTACCACCTTTAAAGAATAATAGGAAACTTGTTTCTGCTACTCAAATTATATAATAATCATTTTGATTAAAATAAATGGATGAATTAAAGCTATTTTTTTAACAACCGGTCGTAACAAATACAGGCGGTCCTCGACTTACGTCGTTTCGATTTACGTCGTTTCAAGTTACGTCGAACAATGTTTTGACACTATTCCTCAAGCATACGTCATTTGTTTCGATTTCCGGCATATCGGAGAATTCACTTGTCGCAAGGTCAACGTCCGTGAGGGGCGCTAACCGTTTGCCTGACATTGCAGTTACTACTGATGATATTGATGATCTGTTAAGCTCACATTCGCAAGAACTGACTGATGAAGATCTTATTGAATTGGAGGCACAAGTACAAAAGGAAGCACTCGAGTCACAAGAAATAGCTTCTTCTATTAGTGACTCTGAAAAAGAACTTACACTAAAAAAACTTTCCGTAGCCTTTGCAAATTTGAAGAATGCCATGAAAATTTTTGAAGAAAATGATCCTAATTTTGAGAGAAGTTTTAACGTTTTAAAGTTTTAACGTAATAACAAAATTTGTGCAGCCTATCACTGTTACCAAGATCTGTATGATAGCAAGAAGAAAGAAGCCAAGCAATCTAGAATTGATAGTTTCTTTAAGCCAAAACTTTAATTTATTATTTATCATTACATATGTATAAGTTTTATAATTATTATTAAAATTAATAACACACAAATACCAAAAATAACTAGCAATTTCATAAGTGCATAATATATAATTATTTTAAGAACTTACTTTTAATAATAAAGTACGTCCTTTGTTATAAATGCAGTTTTTTTTATTATTTCGAGTACGTGTGGAACCTAACCCTTGAGTTTTACATGTAAACATATGAAAAAATATGTCTCGACTTACGTCGTTTCGATTTACGTCGCGTATTTCAAGAACCTAACATGCCGTAAGTACGAGGACTGCCTGTATATAAAAAAAATATTTAATCATTTAGTGTTAAAAAACTTCCAAATTTTTTTAAGATATCAGATGAACAAGTGCTTATTTTCATTATACATACATTGATTTGATCTTATGTGTTTTAATAATTAGAAGACCGATAGAAAGATAGAGATGCAGGCTGATCAAATGTTAACAAAGAAATTGAATTAACTGAGAACAGAAAACAGAGAGATACAGATGTACACCACAGCATCAGCTGCGTTTTAAACAGATACGTCGAATTGACATGTATTCAATTTGATATGCAGCAAAAGCACTACTTCATTTTTAAAATTACTTTATATAAATCGCAATAATATATGTAGTACGTTGTACGTTCCTTTTGTTGCAAAATCATAACTATATTTATTATTCAACTATGTTCATATTTTTTTATAAATAAAATACAACAATATGCATTTTTGCAAAAACCTTTTTATAAGCTATCTATATATTGTTGGAAAAAATCTTGTTTGTTTAGATAAAGAATCAGTAAGGTATTTTAACATTGAATTTGAAATTATTCTGTAAAAATATTTTATAAAAATTAAGGATATATTTCAATAAAGAATTTTGTATACAACTCATTATAATTATAAAAAGGAGAAATTTAACTCACTTTACATTTCACTCATTTTTTATATCCCTACCAATATTACAAATGCCAAGTAACCCTGTCTGTCTGTTTGTTACGCTTTCACGCCTTTACCACTGAACTGATTTTAATGAAATTTGGTACATAGATAGAGTTGACCTTGAAAAAGAACATAGGTTCTGTTGAAAACGCGATATAACTCCACGCGGGCGAAGTTGCGGGCGGAAAGCTAGTTATCAATAAATATTAAATAAATTATGACGGGTATTTTGACAAATACTAAAGCGTTCAAAAAAGGTATCATCAAACATATTTTGCTATTACCAATTAAATTATGACATTATATAGAACCAAGGATGGTTAGAGGATCTAATGTTCAACAAGTTTTCAAACATATCTCAGGATTTCGCTATTATAGATTGAAAATAAATTATTTTTTTTCAAAATAGATGCTAAATGGTTTTATTCTTATTTTTTTTTCCATTTTCCCGACCTTTCGAATACTTTATAGTAACCGTGATAGAGACCAGAAAAGATGAAAGTGTCTGTTAATATGTTTTGTTATTTGATTTTTTAATTTTTTACTATACTGCAAATTCTTGGGATATTCACTTAAGTAATATTTTAAATCATAAATATATGGAATGCTTTTACAAATTTTATTTCATTTAAATTTTTATTACGACTTGACACATTTCTTTCTTATTTCTATAACTTATCCTACATTAATTAGATTCAGAATATGTCTAAATTTGTTCTAAAACATAAATGTTACATTCATTAAAAACTATAGTTATTTAACTTAGGTATTTAGAACTTAAACATAGTATACATATTTAAAAGGCAATGTATTTTTACCTATCGCCTGATAACTTAACCTACTACCGAGCGAATTAGTTGTTAGCTTGGTATTTAAAAGATCAGTCCGAGTTACTGGAGATTCAATCTTTAATAAGTCTCATTATTATTGTATTATATTGAATGAAATATAATGATATTATTGTGAATACAAATGAAATGATTAATAATCAGAAAGTATTTTGTTCTCCGTGTCCATAAGTGCTATAGTTGCTATCTTTATTTCTGAGTCAGGCGAAATCTACCGAAACAATTCAGTTTCAATTTGTCATGTTGGCATCTATTGTTTTTGGTTTAACGTATAGTCGAACTGTCCCATAAATCGATCACATGACGGAGTTCGAGTCTAAACTTTAAACATCAAGCACGGCTCGCGGACAAAATTCATTGCTTACAAAACTATGCTTCTGTAAAGAAACATAAATCAAGTGAATTGTTCCATTTTTTATCCTTCCATGACCAAATAATTACAGTCACTGGCTGCCTGGCTTTTCAATTTTGGAAATCATTTAAATTATCTTAGTGAAAACCTGGCTAATACTAATGTGATTTTTCCGAGTCATATGTACTTTCTAAGAGTTTTGAGAT